AATTGACATTTTCCATAATGTAATACTGTTTGTTTGTAACATTACATAATGTCAAGAAATAAACATTTATTATGTAAACATTTTACCATTTCAGTGAAAAACTTCTACCCGCAACTCCACTCCCTTTATAACAAGACTCGATGGACACATGTCCATTAACACAGGATCCCAGTACAACAAATTGCTGTGGAGACCAAATATACCAAGACCCTGCTGATTTTTCAAAGCGGCGAATTTCCTGTGATGAAGATCGTAAAATGGAGTTTTTATCAGAGAGTGCGAAATTCAAGCCCGTAAAATCTTACAAATTTCATGGGAGGTAAATAGGCCCTGGTTGAGATACAGTGTGTCAAATGATAGTGCGTTTGGTGCATATTGTTTATGTTTTGGGTCCACTGATTCGCCATTTGTACAACAAGGATATAAGAACTGGAAAAAAAGCAGTTGGTGTCAAAGATAGTTATCTCGACAAACATGCGAAAAGTGTTGACCACATTATTTCCACTGAAAAAGTTCGAAACTTCCTAGACTGTACTCAAAATGTCGGCACAGATATTATTTCCAAATTAAATAAGGCAGCTGCAGAGAGCCAGATTATAACCAAGAAGGGCATACTATCCATCATTGACATCATACTTGTACTCGGGCAGCGGGGTATACCCTTTAGAGGAAACTGGGTGATGGAGGATCAGGCCGAGAATGGCAATTTTGCATTTTTCATGGACTGGAAATCAAGATATGATCACGACAGATCGAAACGCTAAATATACTTCCCCACAAATACAAAATGAAATACTCCATCTTTGTGAGAAAGAAATGAGAAGATCAATTGTTACTTCCATCCCCGAGTGCTGGAGTATTATGGCAGATGAAGCCCAGGATTGCGCCACTGAACAGTCTTTGTATACGTTACGTGTACAAAGACAAACTACAAGAGGATTTCCTTGGCTTTGTACAACTGGAGAAATGGATGTGCGTACGATAGCTGACACAATAGTTTAACACACTTACAGGATTTGGTTTGAATATGGATAACATGGTTGGACAGAGGTATGATGGGGCGGCAGTGATGAGTTCTGACAGAAATGGCGTACAAGCTATTATTCAGAGACAGTACAGTAACGCAACATATGTCCATTGTCGGTCACATACCCTCGCATAAGCTCTTGCAGCTGGTTGTAGACAGGTCTCAGAAATCCGTAACTTGTTTGACAGTGTTGACAAACTTACTTGGTTTTTGGGTGGCAGTGCCAAACGAAAGACAATCTTTATAAGTGTAGCTAATAATAGTGATGATGATATTAGTGAACTGTTAATGGATGAATTAGGCGAATCAAATAACGAGATACGCAAAGGCCAAAAAAAAACATCAGTACCCAAACTGTGTGTTACACGCTGGACGGCTAGGGTTACCACGCTGTCGGCCCTGCTTGCCAAATACAAGATCGTTTTAGAGTCCATGGAAGCTAATAGGGATAGAAGCAATGGTGATGCAAAACGAGACGTTCTACTCAGACGCCCAGCGAGTATTTTAAGGTGAATGTATATTATCTTTTCTCGGATCATGTCACCCAAGATCTTGAGACGCGATTTGCTGATCATCACTGTGATCTGATAGCTGCACAAGGACTTTTACCATGCAACATTGGTCAGCTCACATCAACCCATGTAACCTCAATTAACACCTACTATGGGAAATGTTTGTAAAGGAATGAATTTTTGAATATTGAAATTGAGAAGTTGATAACAAAGTTCATTGATATGAGCAGTGAGCAAATGCACAATGATGCTGCTTCATCTCTTGCTGTTTGTGATGTCAACTATTTCCCAGCCATCCACAGAATTCTCACAATATTCTTTACAACACCTGTCGGAAGCGTGTCATGTGAACGTTCTTTTTCTGCACTTCGGCGGGTGAAGTTATGGACACGATCTAGCATGGCTCAAAACAGACTCAGTGCTCTTGCAATGTTACTAGTACACCGAGGCACAGACATCATTCCTTCCCCAGAATTGATTTATTCGAGGAAAGCTAACTGGAGATAAATTAATATGATATCGCTAAAGTTGTAAACATAAACTGTGTATTGTACAACTATCAATTTTATCAATCTGTTCTGCAAATTAATGTTGCTTATATATGAAGATAGAACAAAAGTGTTTCAGGTATTAAAGTTCATACTGTAATATCCTGTGTTTTGTATATATTCATAAAATATATCAAGATGATTTTATTGTTAAAAATTGATAGATATCCCCCCATAGCCAGCCAGCACACCTATGAACTTTATACATTTATACGCAACTTAAAACAATACATTTGCTGCCCCCTAGTGAAAAAAAAGCTAGCTACGGCCCTGTTAGTTCGCATTATCGTGTTGTTCAAGTGAGGCTAACCGAGGATAATTTATCCAAGCAAATGCGATAAACGAAATGGGGGTAAAATGTATGTCTACGAGTACAGAGAGATGAATTTCTTCTGTTTTTGTACTACAAAATTCGCGAAACGAGATCGACGAAAGGCCGACGTGACTCTTATTTCCTCGGCATCAACTCCCGGTAAATGTAACAGTCCGGGCACAGTTTCTATAAATAAATGAAGTATCCGTGTTCCCAGATGTGTATTAGTTTATTTATACAGTGAGATTAAAATCACTGTTGGTTCTCCTTCTAGAATGGCTAACACCCACTGGCTTTCCGGTCATGTTCGTTTGCCCGCTACG